TCTAAGTCTATAAAAAAAATATAAAGTTCTACCTAGAGGAAATAACATGCATTCCGCTGCTTGACGCGCAATACTCGTATCGACAATCGAGTATTTCTTTCGAAGGACGCCTGCTTAAAACGTCCAATTGAACTAGATTAAAAATTCGATATAGCCAATTGCTTTTTTAGTTCGTAAATCAGGTTCTTATCTGATATATCTGATAAATTCTCTTTTCTTATTCTTCTCTTTACATCGCATTGATAAAATGTAAGCCGTTTATCGGTAAAAAAACAATTCTTTCCTTGACTCATTGTCAGATTATATTCCGAAATGGAAACAGAGTTGGAATAGGAAACAGTTCTATGTATTACGTACATTTTATGTATCTTGAATGGAATTTTCTTTTGCGAACAAGAAATATGTTAATGCAAGAATTATGATTGATCATAATATTAAAAAAATCTTAAGGCTTGGCTATCTCGAGGCACCATATTAATCATATGGCGTCAGAGGTGAAAAATGGCATGTAACAAAGTAATAAAATATGCTATGCAAAACTTCATTTTTTAGTTTTCACTTAAAAACCTTAGAATTTCGTAATCGTGAAACCAGTGAAATATGTGCCAAATTGAAACATCTGTCTCGATATATCACATAGAAGTGATGTATTTCTCAATTGTCAAAAACCGCTGCGACGATATTTGCACCATTATTTATTAAGGAAGCATTTTGTTACTTTCGGATTTAGTTTTCCTTACGATATTTTATTTTTAAATAAACCATCAGAAAAAATATTATTAACAAAATTAATAATAACGTAAATAACTTTAATTATTTTTATGCAAAAATTAGTATATTTTACGTTTATATTATTGTTACCATTTTATAATAACATTCTTTTAACGGTATTTTTGGTTCGATCTACAAAATCCACTGGTATATCTTACGTACTTAAGACGGTCCTAAATATAAGATTCAACTACGAATATCACCCTTAGTATTCTGTATATATCCTCACATATTCTGGTCGATATAATGTACATACAATGATGATTGTTATATTACGACCTTTGACCTACATACATATATTTGCGTTACTACAGGCGTATCACAGAAATTTCTCGATAAAGTACGAGACACAAAAATAAAGGCGTACAACTCGCGGCTGGAATAACAATTGCAAATTTTTCGTCCGTCTATAAGCATCACGCTTGGAGATGTGCCACACCTTGTATTCATACCTCCGAGATCTCCTGCGGTGCATTAATTCGTGCGAAAGTTAAACGTTAAAATACTCAGCCGCGCGAAAAGTTCGCCAAGTGTTGGAGAGGAGAGACGAGGACTTCTCGCAACCGTGAAGAAAGTCGAACCATATAACCGACGATGCGTGGGAGGGCATTAGTTACGAAGCAACGGCAAACAAGTCGACAAGTAGTACCGTTATCCACGTGATTTACGACGGCAGTGATCTACACAAGCCGCGGGAAGGGAGGAGGAGGAGGAGGAGGAGGAGGGAAGAAAAAGTGCGTCGCGCCTTCCCTTTAAATTCATACCGTGAAATTAAAAAATTCAATTTGAATCGTTTTTAATCACTTCTACAGATCGTCATTGCTGCTACACATCATTAATTTGACTAAAACAACAAAGTTGAACAATTTAAACAAATGTATTAAATTTGAGTCAAATTTAGTTTACTATTTACACTAAGAAACAATGTGTATGTAATATTCACTAAATATAAACGTAACCTATATTTATTTGCTAAGAAGCATTAATTTAATTTAACCATTTCTTTTTATTCTGCAAATATTTATTTTCCATAAATAAAAATGTTGTGTTAGTGTTATTGAAAGAATTCTTTCTTAAAATTTAGAGTACACTTTTATCTCAGCGTAAGTGTACGTAAAAAAATAATTTGATTAAACTAATTGATGACTGGAGTTCTGTAGAAAAATGAACGATCCCAGAATTCTAGTTAAGTCTAGCAGATTTAACCAGAATTCTGAGTCGTTCATTTTCCACTAAAATCTCAGTTAATTCCAACCAATCATGTTTCTATCCGAGTTAATATAAATGCATCCACGTTAATATAAATGCTGTTTACTTCAAAAACTAATCGCGGAAATGAATTGATTTTACATTTTGACACATTTGGAAATAAAAAATAAATAAAATATTCGTTTCAAGAGTCTGTGTGCGTTGTCCATTACTCCTTTGAAATCCAACGCGCCCAGATACGATTATAGTGCGTGGCTGACCACGCAACACCGGACGGATAGTCGCGGCAATCGTTACGATCTGTGAAAGCGAGCCATGCCGTATCGTACAATCGATGGGAGCGTTTATATGCGTGACGGCGTACACGGGGAGAATGCGTGTATACGCTTTGCTTGCTTGCTTACTTACTTACTTACTTACGCCGTATATAATGTAACGTATGCAAAGCGTAGGGGACGAGTAATTTATGCGCCGTACGTGTTTACGAAGCGCGTACGTGCGATCGCGTTGTCGCGAACGCGAGATCGTAACTGTTAGACGAGAGGAAGTTTAGGTAGTAGAGGTCCTTGAGAGAGGCGGACGATCAGATGCGATTGCTATCCCGCGATGATTCTCTCGGGCCGCTCCTCTCGCAAATATTTATCTCTTTGCGGATTAATA